GTGGCCTGAGTGGACGTTAGCCAGTAAATTGAGATGGAATTTCCCCATTACAGTCAAGACTTGAATTTTCTCTCCCCAGGTCCCCAGGATGATCGGTTCGGTTCATGCGTGTGTGCAGCTTTTTCATTAAAGATGCTTTTGACTCGCAGACATATTCACACCGTGTTTTCAGGAGCAATCAACACAATGACATCAATGAAAAGCATCTCAATACTTCGCTTTTCTTTTCATTTCTTTCTTTCTTTTGTCTGATGTGCAGACTGAGTTTAGTGGAGCTGAGATTAGAGACAGTCGTGTCGCTGCAGTGGCTAAACGAGTTTGATGGTTGCCAACCAGCGTTACAAATGAACCACTCTTACGAGGTCAGCAGAGAGTCAGTGCAAAAGATGAAACAGAACGCACTGTCACATGACCAGAAAAGCTCTTGTCCAAGTCTTTCAATCATGGTAGATGATTTTGAAATAGACTCACCTTAAAACACTGTTGACAGCAGTCTGTCTCTGAATGCCTTTTAACAAGCAAAGGCATGATTTGAATTTATTTTTATTTTTTTCAGGAGAATGTAATCTGTTAGTCAATTGTTTCTGTGGAAAGACAAACTTTAATTTGTTATTGCAAAATTCTAAAATATAATACCAGCCCAATGTTTTGATACACTTGACTGAATGATCTGAAAGACATTAAGATGTAAAGGCTTCCGCCGAAATGCTTGAAATTAGTTTTGCAGACAAATATTGATATAAATATAAAAACGTTACCTGTGCATTTCTGTACAATATTATAATTAGTATAGTTACATAATAATTTCTGTTTATAAAAATTACGTTTTTCTAATAATAATTTCCTAATAATACTATATATATATATACAGTGTTGGGGGTAACGCATTACAAGTAATGCGAGTTGTAATCAGATTACTTTTTTCAAGTAACTAGTAAAGTAACGCATTACTTTTTAATTTACAAGAGAATATCTGAGTTACTTTTTCAAATAAGTACTTTTTTCCCCCCAATGTATTGATTGACAGCTCTCCTGTCCCCATGTTGAGAGAAATCAGAAGATGTTACTGTAGTTCTAAAATAAATATGAATATGCATTAATTCATCTCACTCACAAAAACCACACAGATTCAGTATTCCTCAAAATGAATAAAAATAATGCAACTCTGAATATGACGCAAACCTGCAATAAATAAATGTTAAACAACATAAATATCCTTTATGTATTTAATCCCATTCTATTAACCAATGTCTTTGCTTCTGACCTTCGATGATCCAGTT